GTACCGACGGTATTTTATTTGCAGCAAAAACAAAAGGAAATACAATTTAATTAAACTTTAAAATACATAAAAAATTACTTATGCATCCATTAGTATTAGTTTGATTAGGTTTTCTGCCTCTACACGCTTAAGTGAAAAGTTGGCACCAATTTGGCAGTAGTTTCAATTCCTACTTTAAACTAGTGGTTTCCTATTATCAGGTTTTCTATTAGCCTAATTTTGCTTTCGTATCTACATATCAGTTATCTAATATATTAAATCGTAGAGGTCATTTGTGATTTTTTCTAGCTTCGTTGTTGATAAAGATAACGATTTTTTTAAAAGTTGTTTGTTTGTGTGTTTTAATTTATATATATTACACGTAAAATCTGCAAGATTTTTAACTTTTGTAAAGTATTGCGCGTATCCCAGTTACATATTTACAGGGCGACTTATCTATAAGTTTTATGCTGGAAAATTAAAAAGTTATTTCGCGAAAGAGAAAAGTAGTTTTATTACAGGGAAAAGTATTTCGTTTATGCTACCGTTACATAATCGTTGAATTATAATTTAGTTAAAGTTTGATAGAAATATACTGTAAGAATGATATGAATTAACAAGCTTTGTAATGCATATTTAATTAATAAGTCAATATTCAGTATACTAAGAAAAATAAAAAGTCTCCAAGTGTCGGTCGAAATTTTATCAAAATGCTGTTACCGTATAGATGTATATATATTGGTTACCATAGAATAGATAAGAGTAATATTTCTCATAACTTTTAAAAGTAAAAATGATATAATAATGGGATTAATAAAAGGGATACGATATCTACTGTCATTACTTTTTACATCATTTATTTTAATTAATAAGGCAGTGGTAGCCCAGTAGTAACGCACTTGCTTGGGAAACCGAGTGAAGTGGGTTCAAATCCCGGGTCTCGCACCTCTGATAATTTTATGTGCGAATCATTTCTAACATGATTACCACTTGCCTTACGGTGAAGGAAAACATCGTGAGGAAACCTGCATGTCTGAGAAAACCTAGCAAGTTTTCGAAAGACATGTGACGTCCGTCAACTCGCACTTGGCCAGCGTGGTGGACTATGGCCTGATTCCCCTCGTACTGAAGGGAGGTCCGTGCCCAGCTGTGGGACGTTAAAAGGACTGCATACATTTTAATTAACCATTTCACCTAGCTTATCTAAAACTTGTGCACAAAAAGTTCTATGTCAGAAAAATTTCGCGGGTTGGCATATAAAAAACAATTTTGCTCGCAGTCGGAACTTTAATTTTCATTCATAACTTATTATTTTTTTATAAAACTCGCGCGTCACTTATCGTACCTTGATAAAACTATGTCAGAAACCTTTGCGAGCCTTTACATAAAATCATGCCAATTTATACAATACCAGTTTTAAATATTAAAAATTTTATAGAATTTGTTTTATTATTTATTTGACCCAAATTCAAAGTAGCATAGTAACTATGTAGGTACATACATCTGAATTACCAGAATGTTGAATAACTTTTAGTTATATTTTATTGAAACGTGTAACAGTGTCACAGCAGTTTAAGTTTGAAGAGGACGAATGCAAAAATAAGCAAAACTACTAAAAATGGGTTTGACACGATGAAAACTACAGTCAATTCAAGTGTGCTTAAATTTAAATTTACATTAAAGCTATAATAATACAGTATTCAGGTAAAACTATATTTTTGAATGATGATGGGTGCCATTAGTATTTAGTGTCCTCAATATAAAACAATTGGTATTACGGACAAGATTGAAAAACAAGAAAATTTACAGTATATTTTAATGCCAATAATTATATCGCGCTAATATTAAATACAAAGGCAGTGGTAGCCCAATGGTAATGCGCTCGTATGGGTAACCTAGTGAAGCGCGTTCAAATCCCGGGTCTCGCACCTCTGATATTTTCAAGTGCGAAGCATTTCCAACATGATTACCACTTGTCTTAATGGTGTAGAAAAACATCGTGAGGAAACCTGCATGTCTGAGAGAACTTGGCTAGCGTGGTGGACTATGGCCTGATCCTCCTCTTATTGAAGGGAGGCCCGTGCCCGCAGTGGGACGTTAAAAAGGATATAATACAAAATTGAATACAATATTATAAATTTTCTGATATTATAGCCATAAATAAATATAATGAAATATGGCCGATTGATTATAATTATATAACATATTCCATTTAATCATATTCTCTTGTGGCTAAAAACTTAACCAAAAAAATATTAAAATGGCCCTTGTTAATAGCAATGCCAATTAGAGATTTGAGTAATAAAAATTCTTTTAAAACATTCACTTACTAAATGAATGTTTTGTTTTCGACGAAATCAAAAATTGGCGTTACAGTTTTCATGGTTGATTTCATAGTGAAGTAATCGGTGGGAATGTACTAATGATTGGTTGCAGTCGAGCAGCGTGTAATGTGCAATTTGCGGGCGGGCATTGATATGAGTGGTCACGCGACGGCTACACTGAACCATTGGAACTTATAGAACTGAATTCAACAATCGAAATTAGTAAATAATTTTAAATATTTTGTAGTGTAACATCTATACATATAATATAATTGTAACTAAGCCGAATCTGTACTATTGAAACAGATATTATTATCGATACAGAGGCCGAATCTATAGTTTTTAGAATTTTTGTCTGTCTGTCTGTCTGTCTTTTTATTTTTTATTTTTTTTATTTTTTATTTTTTTTTACCGCAAGAAAATGTCTGAACGCAGGCGGAGCCGCGGGCAAGGCTAGTCAGAAATAAAGTCCTCCTTCAGGCATCAGCTAAGCAGATACTTACGCGTACGTATGAACGTTTTAAGATAGAGCAAATAAAACAAAATTAGAAAATAGTTGTCTTTAGTCATTACAGTCTTTAAATGGGGACCTTAAATTGTCACTTTTAGCTTTTTTATTATTTGCTAGGGTATCCACACTAATAAAACCTACATAGAATCGGACTTAGCGATCTAAATAAAATCGGTGGGACGCAAGTTGCAGATAATCTATAAAATATAGAGTACAAAATTTATTTTAAAGTGGCCTTGGACATTTAGGTATAGAACCCTAAAAATGGGAAAAATAAGATAAATTTTACCAAAAAATATTAACAAACTTGATTGATGTTTTGATGTATGTTATTGCAATAAATATTCAAAAATATATTTTTAAATAATGGTCCTCCAAAAACGCAAATTGTTTCAAAAATTATGTAATTTTTGTTTATAATATTATTATTATTATTTATAATAAAAATTATAAATACAGTAAAAGATTATATACACTGTAAAAAATAATACATTTTTTATTTATGCATACATACATACAGATACAAGACGATATAGAACTCTAAGTGTCCAAGTTTGACTCGAACTTGATCGATTTTTTTAGTAACATGAATTTTATTTCCTCTTTTTACATCACGAATCGATTTTAATGAAGACAACATTTTTTTTTTATAAAACTTTGGTTTAATATGCGTAGGGAAAGAATGTTTGAACAATAAAATAGTATTCTAATAATTAAATATTGTGTTATTAAGAAATAATAATAGTTACCTATACATACTCGTATAATAATTGTAAGTGATCGGTGTCTGTGCATGGAAGATATTTGAGAAATACTATTATTGGAGTCTTTATTTAACGCAATAGAACCCAAAACAATAATTTTTAGAATTTTTGTCTGTTTGTCTGTGCGTTTGTGCACGCTAATCTCAAAAACGATGATGAGTCGCTAGTTAATTAATTAAAGTCAATTCGTTTCAGTTCAGTAACTTCATAGAAATACCGACTATAGTTTTTGTTACGCTCTTACTTAAGTGTGACTCCATAGTTAACTAACAGGTACTGAAGGAATTGATTTTGTAAATTAATCAGTAATATAATTTTATTTTATTTTCACAATTTATATGATAAATAACAAATAAAACATATTTTTATTTAGACTATAATAATAAGTGATAATAATAAAGGTACGTGCCCAGGTATGTAAACAGGCAACTTGAAGTGTTTGTTTGTTGGTACGAGTATGTTTGTAGATGTGGGTTAAATCTTTTCCCTTAACGTGCGTTCACCTTGTCGTGGTGGCGAGGGATGGGGGGGGGGTCTCAGTGGTGCCCGGCAAATCAGCCGGGCGCGAAGCCAAGAAACGAACACGGAGGTAGCCCACCTCGGTGGACGGTGTGCCATGTGGGTTGCTCCTGATACTTTTCTGAAAGCAAGCAGAGAGGGAGGACCTTGGAGTAACCTCATGGCTGTTGTGGTCTGTTTCGGCAGACCTGCCGTAGGGGCGTCGTGGTTGAGTGCGTAAGCGATTCCGTTGGGTTTTAATGGGTAGCACTGGCTTTGCTGGTGAGTCTTACAATTCGTGCCAAAATACATTTCCCAACGTTAAAAAAATATGGTTTAAATCTTGCACACTGAATTAGAATAATTTCTTTTTATCTTACAGAGCTGAAATTTTATGATATTATGATCTTGATGACCTGATTCTCCTCCATCTCGCATTGGCTCCAGACGAAGTAACTTCTCAACGGTCAATAGTACAGATACAGGATTAAGGGCTCAGATACAAAATTTTGTATACGTATTCAATTATAATAGCCTGTTCTAAAGTCCGCCAAGATCTGGCTGCTGCACCTAGGGTGTAACAGTCAACGGTACAGATACAGAATTTTCTATATGCATTCAATTATGATTCAGTTGATCTCAATAGTGCACCTACGACGACTTAACGACGACGACTTGTAAACTAATAAGATAAATAAAGTGATAGTAAAAACATGCTTTTAATGTGCTAAAAAGAAGAAAATAAACCTTGAAATAAATTAAACCCATCATTTTGTTACATTATACAAAATATGACATAGAAGCTTGTAGAGACAAGCTTTTAAAGCTTGTTCTCAAAAATGGTTTTTAATATTAATTTATTATGATCTAGATTATATTATTTAAAGATGGAAATTATTTGCAGAGATTTATTTCAGTGAACACATGTATAATTTGACCTACCAGGTTTGTTGAAGACTGACGCTGCCACTCGTGTCTCGCATTACGACGAGTTTAGCACTCGCTTAAACCTAACATGGTAGTTAGTTGAACTTCTTGCACTCCTTTTAGGGTTGAAAGCGGTGATTTTCATTAACCTGAAATGCAAAAAATGTTGTCTTAAAAAAATCGTTAATTCAGAATTTGTAGTGATCGCAACAGATAATTACATGCCCATATATTTATTCTATTTCTAACTAATATTTTTATATGTGTACGTTTTTATTAGCAGAATTTTAAGTACGTAAATATGTACCTTTATCGTGTCAATGGTGTATAAATTATGATATTTACTTATGTTAAAAAAAAAATTAAATTATTATTTATATTTTCGTGATATTTCATCTTACGTTAACCTTTTTAAGTGATTCTTTAAATAATCCCATGGTCATTAATGTCTATTAAGTTTTCACCGGATGTCAATCCACCTATCCTGACACCATTTTTAAATTTAAACTAGAAAAGAACATATTTCTAAAGTTTTTCTATCAAAGGCAAAAATAATTTTATTCGTGGCTCAAATAGTAATTAAGCCCCAAACACGAGACGTATCTTACCACAAAGTTACATTTCTTTTAAATATACCAATAGTAAAATTTATTACATACCTTATTTGTACAAAGCTAAAAATACTAACTAGTAATGTTATACTGTATTTGAATTATTTTAATAATGATAAAACATTTTGTTCAAAATGAATTTATGCAAGCAAGCATTTTATGGAAGTAGATATCCATATCCATACTAATATTATAAATGTGAAAGTGTGTTTGATTGTTTGTTTGTCTTTCTTTCACGTCGAAACGGAGTGACGGATTGGCGTGATTTTTGATGTGAAGATAGTTGGAGAATTGGAGATTGACATAGGTTACTTTTTATAGCGGAAGATCATCTCATTCCAACGGGAAAACACGTTATAATACAATCCAATGATTTATTTCTTATCAGAATTACTTTAAACTTAGTATTAATGCTCTTCAATACAGTAAAATTTCGAAATTCATCCTATAAGAGGGTAAAATAGGGAATGAAAGTTGGTATGTAACGTAGGTACCTACATTTTAAAGATTGTTTGTAGTCTTAGCGTGAGCGAAGCCGTGGGTTCTGCTAGTAATAGAAATAAATCATTGTATTTGTAGACATTAGTCTCAAAACTGAATAACAGTTGATAACAAAAGTATTATATGATAAATTTATATACATTCACCGACTTCCTTTATTCTAAGATATTCTATTGTTATTTAAATTATAAACGAAAGTTATTATTATAACTATTCAGTAGTATTCTTCTAAAATTAAAATTTAATTTAAATTTTCTTGTTCTAGTAAGTAATAAAATTTCATCTCCGCTCACTTCCACTTGCGGGGTGGACGTAGAGATGGGCCTGAGAGAGCTACTCACTTACACATAATATATAGTGCCGTTCTTATTATATATGTACATATAAATAATAGAGACAACGCGTGCTAGGTGACGGTGCCAAATGCCTTTTGTCCCGCGCCCGCTTTGTCTTAACCAGGTCGGAATGAACATCTGTATAGTCAAAACAACTGAGGCAGAAATCGAAACCGCGGCCTCTGGTGTTAACTGACTGGTATTGCCGTTGATTACATGTAGTACTACGGCAGTCATATAATCGACTCATTATACATCTCCAAAGTCAAAGCTGTTAATTTGGGTACCTAATTACATAAAACCTTATTAATACTATGAGTTAAAAAAATAGAGATTATATAACGGAACGGATATGACATAGGCTTTACTTCTTATCTTATAGTGACTAGCATTGTGAATAAATGTGTAGTGAATAGCATTAACCAAATTCTTAGGTTTTACATATTAGTATACTCTTACATAGCAATTTTGGTATTTTTTCTCAAAAATGAGATATTTTCCCGCTATAAAAAGTATTCTTTATGTTGACCCGGATAACCAGCTACCACCATACCAAATTTCATCAAAATCCGTCCAGTGGTTTTTCTGTGATGCGGTAACAGACAGTGAGACAAACAGACAAAAATTCTAAAAATTATAGATTCGACCTATGTATCGATAAAAATTTCAATAATATTTTCCAAAAAATATCTAATGTACAGATACGGCTTAGTTATAATTTTATTATATGTATAGACATTTTATCACTCTGTTGCAATAACTTATTAATGGATACTAGATAAAATATTCTTGAAAACTCAGTGTCACCTCTTCAGTATCTATTTTTTGACGAATTTAAGAGCGGTGTGATGGATGGAAACTTTCATTTAAACATTCAATTACTTGTAGGACCAATACGAACAATCGCCGCGTTCATGGATGGAAGCTGAGTTGAAAATTATTTCTCAAAAATTATTTTTTAAGAAAAACATATTATGAGTATATGATACGATACCGTATTATAAGGGTACTATAAGATTTTATTTAGTATACATTATGTATGTATGAATTACGAATCACGGTATGTCACTTGACTTTATCGATGACTTCACTTCTTGGTCATGATGATGAGATGTTTTATAGTTACACGCGACAAGTAACCCTAATTCATTTACTAATGTTATATCCAAGTAATTGTAGTATATAGTGCATTTAAATATATAGTTATAAATATTACTTGCGTAAAGTAGCTAATTGAATTCAACGTTTGTTTAACATGAATCAAACGAACGGACTATAAACTTATCTCTGATTTTATCTATACGATGTAATTACCTAACACTTTCACTTTGCTTCCTTTTAGTAATTCTAAAATCGCTAAGACATCAAGTGCTCCTCACTATACATACTCGTAGCAGTCAATAAATAACATAAAATCTTTAGTCTAAACGATTGTACGAAGCCAAGTAGGTAAGAACTATGGAATTACCTAATTCAATTAGAATTGTTTAGTCGGCTTCGTTTAGAAAGAAGGCGCCAGTCGGATCTAAACATCGGTTGGAAATCGAGAGTATATGGAATTTCGATTCGAAGTTAAACATAAATGACATGAAACGTGGAACTTTCTTTAAGATTGAACATAAGAACGCGGTGTCAAGTGCGATTATAGTGAACATTGTGGCAGGGCGGCCGAGTCGGTGAGAGCGCGGCCTGGTTGCGACCGGTCGGCCCCACCGCCAGCGCGCGCGCACACGCCGCTCTGCGCCGCCGACGTCGCGACGCACCCGTGTGCGACACACCGAAACGTATCGCTCTTATTGCAAAGCGACAATTCTGTAAAGTAAATTCGCGCATATCGATCGGAACCAAGGACCATGTTATAATTTGTGTTTTGGAACCGTTTAAGTGAATTCTATTAATCGTGACTACGGTTGAGATTTGGAGGTTTACCAAAAATCAGGGTGAGTATGCATTATATTAAGGGAAAATATGAGGCCGGACAATATAAACAATGGCAAGGTGAGTAGGGTATATTATGCGGGTTCCCATGTCGGAAAGCAGGCTAAGGTCGAGGTAGGCACCGCGTGCGTGTAATGAGATTAGGGGCGGGCGCGAGGCTGCGCCGCGTCCCGAGCGTCCCGGGCATTCGGCGCGCACCCTTGCCCCCGCACAACACCCGCGCACCGCTGTTTTCCGTACCACTTGCTCTTACCCGTTTCCTTTTTTGTTTTTCCGCCCGCCCTAACGCGTGATTACTTATATTAAATAATACCATATGATAATGGTAGCAAATTTTCATCATAGCATTGTTTAGGAATTCAAATAAACAATCACATCATAAAGTCAAGGTTACTATAAGTCAAGGGTATAATTTAACTGAGATTACGTACATTTATACAGCTAATTAATAAAAGTTTCCTAGCGATTATGATTCGTATAGAGTAGTATTAATTAAAAATAAAAAAGTTCGTTACATTTAAGCTTTCTAAAATGGCCATACAGCTGTAATGAGATATGAAAAAACGTATCTTAGACCATGTTCTATTATTTCTATCATTAGCACTGGACGTAATAATTATATTGCCAGTAATCCTGCTGTGTCATGGCTATAGAGCCAGATGAAAATGATCTGGTGTTTTATTTTATGTATTAATTGAAATAAAATTTTACATTTGGTTATACTAAGAAAGTAATTATTTCATATCGATTTCTTTCTCATACAACCGTACGTAAAACAAAAAAATACATTGAATATGAAATATAAATATGTACTTAGTATTCATCGAATAACTATTAAATGAAAATTAGTTTCGGAGCAAAAGTTATAAGTTAAGTGAGCTTACAGTATTTATATCTTCTAAATGTTTATGTGTGCTTTAGGTATAAGTTATTATTTATTAATGTATATATATATATATATATATATATATATATATATATATATATATATATATTATATATAATATAATATTCTAAAATGTATATACATAGAGTTTGATTAAATAATTATCGGCGCTTTTATATTTTCACAATAAAAAAAGAAAATATAAATTGATTGAATTTTAAAATATTTATTATATTATTTCTCTGGCCTTAAATAAAAGACAATAAGAAAGAAATTTTCAAGGAATAATGAATAGAAATCATATTTAAAATCTCAAATTTTAAAATTAGCCGATCGTTAGCTTTAAATATTAGACGTAAGATGTGAAATCATCTAATATAAATATTATTTCATCGATTAAAATGTCTTCCGTTTCATTCATGCGATAGTTAAAACCAGATAATGTAGAAGTCTGCCATAACCTGACAGCTCGTAATAATTTGTGCGACCATCTGGCTTTTTATAGTTATTATGTTTTGAGATCGATTTCATTGGTCAGTCGCGAAAGGATGTTCACCTCTTCGGCTTTGCAACGCGACCGTGGCAAATGCCATCTGATGTCATGTTAGAGACGCCCACGTCCCTCATAACACAGCACTCCTACTTTAAATACATTTGCAAATATACGACATTTTTATACTGCTCGAATATTTTAATATTCACCTAAGTGGCGATATTGGAGTTTTTTGTCAGTTATTTTCTAATCAAGTCTGCAGATGTCGTTTCATTTTTTTAAATTATCTCTTGATAGCGCCAAAATGTCTGATGCTCAAAATGATAAATGGATAGAATTAATATTATATTAAATAGACAGCATAAGAAATTTTATTTTAAATTTCTAATTTTATTTCTATTTATAATAAAAATCGTATACTGTGAATGATTTCTATTTGGCAATGTAAATAAATTAATTATTTCATAGTATATTATTCCTATTTCATATGTAAATAGACCTCAGAGTGGATACTTCTTCTTTAACCGGTTAGTATCTTATCTATACCATGGCTTCTCTTCTTCTAATAGACATTGGCGAATTAATCTGTGTCTAACTGGCACGCCGTACATTGTTCTAGCAAAAAAACTTTGAAACTTCGCGCATTCTTTTCACTAGGTAGGTAGGTAGACAGTCCTTATATATCCTTATACTGTCCTTATATTGACGATACGTTTGGCTCAGTCTGTAGTGACCCTACGTGCTGCGCCAGCGGTCGCGGGTTCGAGTCCCGCTAGGGGCATTCATTTGTGTGATAAGCACGAATGTTTGTACTCCAGTCATGGGTGTTTATATTTATAACATGTATTTATTTAAAGTTATACATGTGTAGTGTATCAACTACCTGGTATCCATAACACAGGCCTCGTAGCTTACCATGGAACTAGATGGTGCTGTGTGTTAATGTCCCAACATATTTATTATTATTATTTATTTATTATATATGTACGTAGAAATTATAATATTTGCGAAAAAACAAGAGCAAGTGAAATGCTTTTAATTTAATTTTGGTATCTGATCATGGTCCGTTATCGCTTTCTTTACCTACTGTTTTGGTGTCAGTTATCATTTGGAGATAAAGTCTGGAGCACTCATTTATTCTGCATTACAGTCAAAGGCTAACAAGACTGGATTTGTTTGGAACGTATTTAAATCATCTCGATACTTGCTCTTACGTTTTTATTGGATGGTTATTTATATTTCCGTTAAGAAATTAGACTTCATTATAAACTTTAATAAATAACAACTAATGATAGTATGCCAGTATCGTAAATTATTAGGTAAGTTTCTTTTTTTAATAAAAGAATTGTTATTTTATTGGCACATACATTTTTTTATGCACAGACCAAATGAGCTTCGATGAAAAGTTATTTAAATAGGAACAACGTGATATTTTGATTGTTAGTGGTTATGACGCGACTTACCAAGCTACTTATAAATGTCGCATACCGATGGAGTCATGGGTTCGAAAGTCAATACTAATAAATTGCAAAATGGTTAGAAAACAGGACATTTTACATAAGAACGGATGTGGCCATGTTCTCTTGAGTCATTTCTTAAAATACATTATGCTTATGAATTTTGTACGTAAACAACGATAAGGCGAAAGGAGTTATGGAGCTTGACCTTGCACCCTACAGAGTATGTAATTGAATTCGATATATTGCATATTAAATAGAAGTTTATATTTAAAATAGTGGGAATGTTTATAATATTGAATTGTAAAAATGCGAACTTTTATCGTAGAATTTAATATTACAGTTACGATCAAATATGAGTGGTCTTGCGGCAATATTTTAAGTTTTTTTAAACCAATTGTTAAAGCAAACATTATAAAAATAAATATATGCAATTTAAAGTTTCACAACAATATATATAGTGCATTAGATACAAATATAATTGCATGTTACGAGTACATCAGGTTGGTAGATTTTGCAGGTTACTCTGCTTGCACAAGCGCACAAGGATGGTATAATTAGTCGTGCTACACCAACTCGCTACTATTTACTACAGAAATTATAGCGAGTTACTCATCATTGTTCATTTATACTTACTCTTAGAAATATTGATATTATAATTATAATATAATTAATTCATAGTAATGATTTACATAATAATGTGAGCTTCTTGTTGATAGGTATTCACTGATATAATTTAAGCAGATATATCTAATTATATACGTGTAATGTTCATCCCATAATAATAAAAATCATAATTATTATAAATGCTGAAGTTTGGATGGATGTTTGTTACTCAATCACGCCAGAACGGCTGAACGAATCTGGATGAAAATTTGCACAGAGTTGGATTATAGTATGGAAAAGCGTATAGGTTTCTTTTTATCTCAGAAAAATGTACGGTTCCTGTAGGGTAGATTTATTTTGGTATTTCATCAGTGACGAACCCGAGCGAAGCGGGGGTAAGTTGCTAGTACATATATGTATATAATAATACTAACACAACTTTTTTGCAAGTTGTTAAAACTAATTAAGTAAGTAATACTTGTCTTATTTTTTGTAGCATATTGATAGCGGAAGTTACCTTTTATTGAGCATCTGTCATTAAATTTAATTATTATTATTAGCATATTGTTTTAAAAACTATGAATTTGAACGGAACAAAAATGAATTAATATATTATAATAATGGTCGAAATCGAACCTATAAACCTATAAACTAAATTTCCTAAAAATTATTGTTTATAGATCTCTCACGTTTACGTAGATATATGTACATTTTGGGGGATTTCGATGTAAAAGAAGATTACTGATAACAGATTATGTATCAGATAGCAATGATATTACTATTTACATATATGATAAGTGACATAGAGCCATTTGTTGCATTTTGTAGATTTTTTTATACAACTTTATTTCATTTAACAAAATAAAGTTATCATTATAATATTAACTAAAATCGGTGTAAATATTAAAGTGTATTAAATAGCTACGATCTTGCTGATACTGGACAGTTAAGTATCAATCTAGCATTAAATCCCAAATGAATTGAAGTCAATTAACGTTATTGAAATGCCAATGACTAATCTTCGCATATAACTCGTATCATGCACTCTGCTTAATGGAAATATGTAATCGATCATGTATGTTTAGAGATATGTTAGTGTTTGCAAATAAAACAAGGCTTTCCGCCCTTAATTAGTTTATTTTTTATTTTTGCCGTACGTTTGTTAGTTTTTAGTTGAGAATATTGTTATTAGTCATAGAAAATATGTTCGTTATGATATATTTTATTAATAATAATCGATTCTATAAAAAATAACCATAAACTGTGCGTAACGCTATGAGATAGTACAATGACCTATTTGTGAGTTTTCTAATTTTGACCATCAAAGTTAAGAAGTGCGCTCACCCACTTGTGCGCTAACTGTGTAATTACCACGTTTCTCAGCTTCGAATTATGAAGTAATATCTGCTTTAGTTTATTTATATTACTATCTAATATATAAAATTTCCATGTCACAATGTTAGTTACCGTACTCCTCCGAACGGCTTTACCGATTTTTACCAAATTTTATATGCGTATTCAGTAGGTCTGAGAATCGGCTACTATCTATTTTCCATACCCCTAAGTGATAAGGGTGGCCCACGTTAGGGACGAATCCGAGCGGAGCGAGGGTGAGTCGCTAGTAAAATATAAATATTCACCATATCTGTTCTTGTCAATGAACTCTAGCGATATGTTTTAGTTTAGGAAAGATTTAACGGTAACTATATTCTTCGTTATATTGAATATCAGATGAATAAATTATAACTGTATTTTAAAAGTTCGATTAAAAATATGAATAAAATCGAACTTCGTATTATGCTTAATAGGTAATGGTGTAAAGATTCAATTATGTGATAACGTCGAACAATACTCAATACATATTACACGGTATTTATTCTCTTTATGCCGAGAATAAAACAACGGACGTACAGCAAAATATTGCCTCCATTCGTTCTCCTTTTGAATGAAAACATCCGAGGTCAATTATAATCTGTAATGGTCTGTTGGTGAACGATTTCTTTCGAAATCAATTTAAGAAACATAGATACATCGATATACTGTTATTATGAGAATGAAGTAAGTATAATAATATAAGCTTAAGACGAATTCATGTGCAACTATTAAGTTTAGAATGATATGCGAGTTACTCTAATAATAAGACCATAAATATTGATGCATATTTCTGCAAACTATCATTAGATAGGTAAATTATTTTTAATAAGCATCTCGCTACGTTTCTTTAACTGTATAGTAAACAATATGATAGATCGATATTGGGTTAATGGTAATAGCAGAGATATATAATAATTTCAGTAATTTTGTTTAAAAATGATAAAAGTTGGACCTTAAGTTAAACCAAGGAGTAACGGATCGCAGCCCCGGGCGATATGCTAAACGTCGATCTCTGCAGACGCGCGGGTGCAGCTTTGGTGCCACTAACCCAAATTTCTGCCATCCAATGATGTGAATGTTTGTGTCCGATGCGTTCTCGAACACGCTCGTTATACTTTCATATTGATCGACGAAAGTACTTAGTGATCGTGAGTAGGAAATAAGCACACATTAGAATAGTAAATTTTTATAGTACGAGTATCTTACTCAACTAAAAATATTGTTAACTAGCATTACCTGCGGCTCCGTCCGCGTTCAGATGACCAAAAACCAAATTCTTAGGTTTTACATATTAGTATACTCTTACAACGCAGTTTTTGTATTTTTTCTCAGAAATGAGACATTTTCCCGCGGTAAAAAGTATTCTATATGTTGATCCGGATAACCAACTACCATCATACCATATTTAATCAAAATCTGTCTAGTGGTTTTATCGTGATACGGTAACAGACAGACAGACAAAAATTCTAAAAACTATAGATTCGGACTCTGCATCGATATTAATGTCTATTTCAATAAGATTTTCCAAAAAATATTTAATGTGCAGATTCCACTCAGTTACAATTTTATTATATGTATAGGTTACATTATTAATCGCTATTTATCATTATAAAGAGAAGTATTACAGTAATAAATATATAACATCTAATAATCATTTCATTTTATTATTTGTGAAATAATAGGAACTATTAATAATTCAAAACGGTATTTTCAATATTTGCTCATCTTGAATGTTTGGTTGAAGTAAAACGGTGAAAGAGAGAGGCCTTGCGTAGCTCTCGCGTGCCTTTTGTCTTGTGCGCAACTCTAAATATTACATTTTATATTACGCAAGCTTATGATTACCTTTTGTCGACAGATTCCGACCCGAAAGTGGTTATTAAAACTGCACGGGTGTGCGTCGTACGCGGTATGGAGACAGGCACGACTGTCGAGGAGTTCATCACTATAGTTCCGGTGGGAGACGATAAGCCTGCCATTCAAGATTCAACGTTTGTCACGGTGCTTACTGTTGGTGCAGCCTCTGGCGCTGCAGAAGTTATTGTATGTAGACCTCGTGGGGCTCGTCTAGGGCTAGGACTTAAATTCGAAGGTGGTTCTGCGGCGGCAGAAAAAGTGAGACGACTTTTAGTGCAATCATGTGCAGAACATAGTCCTGCTGCCAATGCAATAGCCCCTTGGGGCAAACTAATACCTGGTGATGAAATCCTTGCTATCGATGGAGTCTCTGTATCAGATTTAACTAGGATTGAATGTGTTCGTCGCTTAAAGGACTCCGATGAAACTTTAGTACTTTTAGTAAGGCATTTTGAGGTGCAGAATAAATCAGAGCAAACAAATATGGAATCTAAAGAAAATTTGGATTTAAAGCTAAACACAGAATTGACTAGACCCTCGACATTACCACCTCCTGTTCCTCCAAGAAAATTAGGTAAGAAGAATTCTTTCAAAGATAAGAACATTTTGCAAACGCTTGGGGAACAAAACGCTCTTATTAATATAGATATAACAAAAGACCTAGAAAATAACAAAGAAACAATTAAAGCCCAGCATGCAGTATCTACTTTAAATAAGTTATCAAGGAAATCATCTTTTGACAGTCACATCCATAGGCAAAATAAAGAAAGTTTTGCTTACTTAAGAAAAGGTTCACCTGAGGAAGTAAGGCGGTTAGTTCGACGACTTTCAGATGGTAAGGCAATGCCACCAGACGCTGACATTTACATAGATTTGCTTTCTAATGAATGGGAACGATGTCTTGTTTTAGCTGATGCAGAGTCTGATGATACTGGGAGTTCTATATCAACCGTAGTTGATAGATTAGGATCAATGGCTGGTTCTGTTGAAAACAGCATACCATCTACTCCTATCATGCAACCTAAATCAATAGATATTCAAAAAGTATTAAATAGTATTGAGAATATAGATACAGATATACTTAAGGATATGACTAGTGCAACATTTTTGGAAAAACATAAGGAAAATATTGATGATAAAAAGATAGAAAAAAATGCTTCTCTTAATGGAATTAATAATCAAGCTACTGTTCCAGACACAGTACTAGAAACTTTTGTTCAAGAAACACATAAAAAGCCCGAAGAAAATGATAAAAATAATAATTTTACTCAAAATTTAAAACAAAACATCAAAATAGATGAATCCATAAAAACGAATGATAAACTGCACAAATCAGAAATCATTGAAAAGCCTAAACCAATGCCAAGAAATACTAAAGTTGAACGATCATCGAGTGAAAAGAAACGTCGTCCAATACCAATTCCAGAACTACTGTCGCCAACGCCAACTGAACCTCTCTTAACGCCAACAAAGAAAACATGTATTGAAACATGGCTTCAAAGATCTGAAGCTGAAATGAATAACAAAGAAGACAAAGTAGAAGAAAATTCGGCACCTGAAGTATTGCCTCGTCTTATTGATTTTGTTCCCAAAATGCAGTTCAAAGAAAATAATATTGAAGTAACACCTTGTGTACGCCCAACCACGGCACCTCCACCGCCTCCTGGCGAACCGAGGGAGGACGGCTCCGGCGCATCCCTCGACACTATAGGTGAACTGGACGAATCGTGCGATGTCATTGATAACGCGTAAGTACTTTAATGTTTTGTATTTTATTGATTAAATAATAAAGTTTGAAAACAAAAAACTTCTTGACGTTCTAGAAAAAAACTAAATGTGATTATATTCAGATTTTCTTTTATATATGATAATTGTTGCATAATCAAATCATTATTATTTACAAACACTATTTAAACTCAATGAGAAGATGTTTTCACTAAGAATACGTTTTTAAAATTAAAAATTCAAAATTACATCTTAAACACCGGTCAAAGCTTTCTATGCGAATAGTTATACATACATACTAACTACATGGAAGTTTCTTTAAGAAAAATATCTTAAAAATATAGTAACGGAACTATAACAGGTTTTTAAGGCACATACGAAACAAAACGTTTGGTAAATTGATATTAATTTGCTGAGAGATCAACCAAACATTTATTGAGAGATTAGGTATATGTGAACTAAAACTCTTAACAACGCGGAGCCTACTTAGTATTTACCTAATGCCAAGTGTGCTGATAAGAACAAATTCAAACAAGTTGCGTACATTGCCCTTTTGCTCCTTATACTATTGTTATAATTGCAAACTAAATTACTGCGAAATGTCTTTAATGTATAGGTACTATAATTTTTTTACTTAAGATAATTAATTAGATCTTCTCAAAGCATGAGAACAATAAAATTTTCGGTGTTAAGAGCTACTTGCCTATTATATCTACATAGGTTCGTTTTAACGGTTAGTATGGAATAGGTAGACGATATATTATATGATATATAGCCTGTAGCCTTCCTAAATAAATTGCCTGTATAATGCAATAAAACAACAAACAGAAATAACATTCATTGAAAGTAATTAAATTAAATATATATATATATATATATATATATACATATATATATATATATATATATATATATATATATATATATATATATATATATATAGCTTATAAAAACTATAATAACTTATTTTATGCGAACCATAGGAGATTTATGTTTTACGTATAAGGCATACGTATATCGGTAAAAGTTTTATTTAGTAAGCAGTCTTCAGCGTAAGAAAGTATATTTTCACCTTAGGAATAATCACTACTCGCGATTGAAAACGTCCATTTATAAACTCAAACCAGTGCAGTGATTAGAAATTAACCTTTCCTCTGCAGCGAAAACGTGTTTATGTTTCTTGACTTCAAGTGCACGATTCAGTTTGAGAAATAAAAGTCACATACTTATTTGCAAATTACAAGTTCTTTTTACAAACAAAAATGTTTTTATTAGGGGCTGAATTTAAAAAAAAATACATGTTTATTTAATTATATTGAAGAGCATACTAAATTTCATGAAGAGTATTAATACCAAATTTCAAGTAATACTGATCATAAACAATTTTTTCCCCATATAAACAGCACAACCCCCTTTTAAGGGATGAATTTTGAAAAAAAAGTATATTGGTATTGCTTTGTATTTTCATTTTAAAGGTAAATACCTTTTTCCGTATAGTAATTACAGAGTTTCATTCAAAATTTCATCTGCCATTTTACTCATTTATGGGATTGAATATCGAAAATGCTAAAACACGTATTTATGTAATTGTACGGAAGTTTCAATTAATTCTGATCATAAATAATTTTTTTGCTTATATAAGCTTTATGACTCCCACACACATTACATATCAAAGAAATATATTTCTTATTTTTTTACTTAAAGCTAAATACCATTTTCTGTGTATTTCACATTAAGAATGACAAAGTTTCATACAAACTTTTATTCTCTATTTTACCCATTTAGGGATGAATTTCGAAAAAATCTTTCTTATCGAATGTCTACATCATATAAGGAATACGTCCTCCAAATTTCACGTTCCCACGACCAACGGTTTAGGCTGTACATTGGTCCATCAGTCAGTCCCTCAGGACAAGACACTGTATATGTAGAATAGAACATATCTAGATAGATGTCAAATATTCGCGTAAATCTAAGAAAGTGTACTATGAAGTTTATGTCTTTTCTGAGGAAATATAATATATATTTAAAAAAAATCGGTATTAGAGTAACTTTAACGTTCATGTATATATTGCAAATAATAATTATCATACTTTTAGTACCCAAAGCATATGAAAATATGATTTAAGAATGTCAACTTTACACACACGGACTAAGTAATTAAACCAAATAAGTATACTATTGTATTCATATCCGTACAATACAAGTACTGAAAATCTGCTAAATTGTTGAATTTATTTTTTGGAGTCGCTCCAAATTGAAATCTCATTTCTATGATAACAGCAATTGAGGCTTCTATCAGTCTACATTCAAGAATTTGTCAATTTTAGTATTTGCTCCAATAAATAAAGAGTGTTTGATATTAATACAATAAATTACATTTTAATTACAAAATATATTGTGTGGTTCTACTAAACCGTGTTGCAAGGTAGTGCAGTCGAAGTCGAGCATCGCTGTTCTAGTTTATTAAGCATTAATCACAACTTTACATAAACTCTTAATATGGATTACGTCGGCAAAGCGCGGTTGATTTACGTAGTAACAAAGCGCTTTCATTGTTTTAAGCAGACAATACTTTTACTAGTAGTTCAGGAACAACGACTATAAAGAAAGAAAACAGTATTTTATTCGTAACGGTGACACACACGGAGAAGTTGTGTATTTTCAAACTAACGTAACAATGCAGCGAGGGCGGGTGGTAACGGCCAACTTCACCCCCGCGCTCGCTCTCACCGCTCACCCTGAAAATGCATCGGCCTGTACAGTGTACACCCTATTATGTAAACTCGCTGACACGTATAGACATCGCATGTATGTACGAGCTGTGCTGATAGCGAGAGCTTTGAACTCACAAGGTGTTCATTTCGAACAATAACATTACTAAGAACCTACATTAAAGAGATTGGTTTTATTAAGACTAAAACGCTAAGTGTTATAAAATATAAAAACGTAAGGGACATTTAATGTCGCACGTGACACTTGTTCATATAATTAATTATTATAGACTAGCATTGCCGGCGGCTCCGCCCGCTTTCAGATAACAAAAACCAAATTCTTAGGTTTTACATATTAGTATACTCTTACAATGCAGTTTTTATATTTTTTCTCAGAAACGAGATATTTTCCCGCGGTAAAAAGTATCCTATATGTTGACCCGGATAACCAGCTATCATTATACCAAATTTCATCAAAATCTGTCCAGTGGTTTTCTCGTGATGCGGTAACAGACAGACAGACAGACAAAAATTCTAAAAACTATAGATTCGGACTCTGTATCGATAATAATATCTATTTCAATTAGATTTTCCAAAAAATATTTAATGTACAGATTCGACTTAGTTACAATTTTATTATATGTATAGATATAAAATGGTGTCTTTAAAATGAAATTGCGGCCTTTTATTGTTTTGTGATTTATGAATCATTTTTAAAATGATTGACACCTGCCACTAGATTACAACTGTACTCGTAGAGTTAAATATATTTAACAGATCGGTCTAGCTCTAGGGTGAACTATAATAGTAACTTGTAAGATACCACTACTATTCGTGAGAAGCGGGACTTAACAAGATAGTATTTGAAGCATGAAGAGATTAAGTGTTATGTCATAAGCGGTGTAGATTTGTTTAAACGTTGTTTAGCGTTGTGTTGCACCAATGACGTCATACAGACACGTAACCATTTTAAAAACTTTTAATTAAGAAAAACTAAACTTTAAAAAAATCATACATTATTATTTAATGTTAAAAAAAAACTAAAAAGTAAGTGTGGGGCTATTTCGTTAAATTTAAGAATAGGAAACTGTGTACATATTATATTGTTATTGAAAAGCGAAGGAGTTTAGTGATATATTAATAAACTAGCATTGCCCGCAGCTCCGCTCGCGTTCGGATGACCAAAAACCAAATTCTTAGGTTTTACATTTTAGTATACTCTTACAATGCAGCTTTTGTACTTTTACTCAAAAATGAGATATTTTCTCGCGGTAAAAAGTATCGTATGTGTTGACCCGGATAACCAGCTATCACTATACCTAATTTCTTAAAAATCCCCTAGTGGTTTTTCTGTGATGCGGTAACAGACAGACAGACATACAGACAAACGTTCTAAAAACTATAGATTCGGCATCTGTATCGATAATGTTTATTTCAATAACATTTTCCAACAAATATTTAATGTACAGATTCGGCTTAGTTACAATTTTATTATATAAATAGACAATAACATTAATCATAATGAACTATTATGAAAACTTTAAGACGAGTACATGTTATGTATCATACATATGTGATCTGCAACGGCTCATTGTTGGAACATCACTAAAGTTTGATTAATGAACAATATCTTTTGATTTTTTTATTCATGTGGTGTATTGCTTCATTTTACAGTTGATTGTTACCATCTATTTATTTTAAGTGCTTGGTGCGAGAGTTTATCCAATAAACCAAGATGTTAAATTTTATTATTGGTACACGAATTTGTAAAAAATGAAAAAACGTATGGCCTAGTAGATCATAGACCTTGGAATTTGTATGTTGATTGTAATTTATTATAACTGGTTTACTATATCACTACTGCAATAATACTCACATTCGTGTATGTTAGTAGAGCAATAGATCGATTAGTTTATTGTGGAATACTATTTCATTTATTTAGGTTATTCTTATACATATGTGACCTAAGCTTCTACACAAAGGCGAATCATTATTTTCAATTAAAGAACATAAATTTTAAACCAATTAACTTTCTAGTTATTTATTTGACTATAATTTTTCTATTAAATTATTTCTTATGAATAAGTACTATTGTATGTATTTTATAGATATTTGTACGTATATAGTATTATCGGGTGAATGCCGCTCTTGGCATTTCTAATTGCTACTGCGCTATACCCACTCGGTAACTGTATATGCTTTTTAACGTATCTATTATTTAAATTTTGATAATATATTACAAGTAGGCCGCTTTTCATATTTAAAAAAAAATTAAATTACAAATCGTCATATTCAAACCAACAGAGACG